CCATGAAAATTATAGAAATTTGTTGCTACGCCCAGGTGCTCATATAGTACATAAAGAGATGGTCCTTCATCAGAAATTATCTAAAAAATAATAAACCTTTTAAGCGGATGTAATTAGCTGTTATTTTTGTACTGCTGCCGAAGGAATCATCCGTTCCACAAACGCAAACAGTACATTAGTTGTCTCTGAAAAGCACAATAATCAATGCTCTGATGTTTCTTTGCTACCATCAAAGCTAAGCTTCAGTTAAGCTTGAAAACATTAGGCGCAGGAAAAAATGATACATAAAATGAAGATACCTGATGCTCCCTGCGTAAGACCATAACAGAAGATATCCTAATATCAATACACTCACAAAATACACATAATAGCAAACTTCATAGTCTCCGTTTCCATCATCAATATGGATTTTCTACAACCAGGATCACTAGAAAGCAATGACTAAAGGATTCGAACGAAGAAATAATCTAAACAAGCGACAATTGGCACCATTCCGGCTTCTGAAATTAACCTCTATGTGAAATTTCGCATTTCGTATTATCTCGATTATCTCCTGCGTACAAATGCTACACTTTCCTCAAGTTCTTCTGTGCTGCTCTGCGCACGGCCTCTTTAATAGAACTTAATCAGCAGGCTACCCAAGTCAGCCCACAAAATATATAATCCAGTTACGAAAGATGCAGAATAGAAAATTGAACTTACACTCAAGCCAAGAAAGTTGAAGAAACTAGAGAATAGCAAGCTCTAAGTTTCTCCAATAGCTATATGAGATTTTTAACAAGGTGACCTATTAACCTAACAAGAGGTGACTCTTAAATCGGCTTCCTTCCTCTCCTACTTGTAGCCAAGCCTGAATTCTCACCTCCAATATAAAATCCATAATGTCTATCCCATTGACGCAGTGTAGACTATTGAACTCGAGCGGACTTGAACAAAAGCCAGTAAATTCATTACTTCACACCAACAGAAGCCATTAAATCCTCATACTCTGCATCTGTGTCTTGTTTTTGAGCCTTCAGACCCTCACCTCCCTGCTGTGGACGAGCCGAGGAAATTGACGTTGGTGAGAATGGATCATAGACTTGGTTACCTCCCGAACTACGCGGGATAACGAGGCCACTAGGCTGGTTTGAAAGAGGTAACTGAGTTTGATGGGGTTGAAAATAATTAGGAGGACGAGCAGGCATAGGATTAACAGAAGGCGGTACTCTCGGTCCTGGAGAAAAGCTCGGTGGGCCCATTTGATTTGCCGGGGCCATAGGCCTTAATTGACCAGTGTTTGAGTTCGGAAATGGGAACCTGGGTGGCGGTTGTGCATTAACTGAATTGGCAGGGAAGTAGGAAGTAGGAAGTACAGGAGATAGACTCAAATTTGTAGAGAAAGGAGTTGGAGAAGGAGATGGAAGTATGGGAATCTGACCAAGGTTTTGTGCAGCTGGTCGAAAAGAGGGTGGTTGAGGTGCTGCAAGTGGAAGAGGGGAAGGCTTACCAGTGGTGGGTGACCCTGGGACTTGGGCTCTGAGAGGTTGAAAGGTAAAATCACCTGAGATTGGACGTAGGGGTTTTGGAGCTGAAACTGGTAAAGCACCATTTGAACTTGTTGGAATAGGTACAGGTGGCCTAGTTAGAGACACCATAGATTGGGAAAGCGCCCTTGCTTGAGCAGCAGCTGGAGCTGGCACGCTGCTTGAAGGTATATTAATATTAGGAGGTATGGAAGTTAATGGAGTGATAGGTCTTTGCACTGAAGATCCAAAAGAAGATAAGACAGGTGAAGGACCTGAAAGAGGGGTAACTGGAGAAAAAGACGCAAAATTAGATGGAGGTCTGATAAGATTACTAGGCATGTTTTGTGGAGGTAATGAAGCCTGTTGAGGTCTTATATGTGGATTAAAAGGTTGAGGAGTCATTTGTGTGTTTGGCCTTTGCAATTGAACAACTGAAGGGGAACTAGACCACCCGGAAGAATTCACAGGAGTCGGTCTGGGAGGGGGCATCGGCCCAATGAGTGGTGGTTGTGAATTAGACTGAGTTGACACTGAAGGATATAATAGTGGGGGCTGCTGACCTGGCATGGCTTGGTGCTGAGGTGAAATTACTTGGTTAGGAGGATGTTGTTGCATTGGTTGGAAGGGTAATTGAGGTCTGTTGACAAGAGGCAATGGCGTTCTAGGTTGTGCATACGGAACATTATGTGGAGGGAACCTTACAGGATTGTTTGTTGCTGAGAGTGGAAAGAATCCAAGAGCTGAATTAGACCGAGCATTAGGAAACCAAGGGGCAGAATATTGCTGCTGGAACTGTTGTTGGCCAGACTGAGGAGATACTGATGTTGGTCGGGCCGCAAATTGATTGACATCAGCAACTGGAGTGGAATTTTTGGAATCAACTACAGCATTACCCTGCAAAAAGAGAACCAGACTAAAGCTATTGGTGAAAGGAACTTGAACACAAGTATCTCAAACTATTGGACAGAAAACTCACAGATACAGGGGTAACTAGCAGCTCGATTAGTGAAACTGCAGCATCAACTTTCTCATATGTATCCGCAGATACATTAACATAGAGCTCCTCATAAGAACCCTGGGGTCCTGTTGCATCTGACTGAGTAATTTCCCGCTGAAAACATGAAACAAAATGTAAATACATGTTTCTATTCTAGTGTTCAAGTGCTAGAATTACCAGAAATTTTTAAAAAGTAACAAATTCTCAAGTACAACATCAAGAAAATGTTGGAAAAATCGCTCAACTCAAATGAAATTTCCAAAATGTCTGATCTATACAATTCTACAAGGAATTTTCAAGATAATGAAACAATCCTATCAACAATGTCTCTTGCAAGTATTGACATGAAAGAAAATCAACACTCTAAACAAGTGTTAGCAAGATATAACCAAAGAACTTGTGCTTTCTTATGATCAAAGTCCTAAATATTTGTATTTATCACATCCAGAACCAGAAATTCGTGTCTACAATCAACAAAGCGATAAATTATAAGAGGTTGTTTGAATGGCCTGGCAAGCTATACCAGGATAGCATGATCAGGCATCTAATCAAAACTGAAATTTAGTGGAGAATATTGAATAAGTATCTTATTGATATTGAGCATTACTCATCAGTCATCACATTTATTAGAATACTACTCCAAGAGAAATTTGATACGGCATCCAATTTAAGACAATGTGCATCTTCAAGCCATAAATATGGGAACTCTTCCCTCCAATCATGATCTAGTCTCATCACCAATCATCATAGGTTCAGCATCGCTTTTTCTGTGGAGGCCATCAACATGTTTTCAGTAAAATTTCATAAGTATTTCCCGACCTAAAAACCTTTGCTGAAATAAAATATGAAATCTGAGAGCTCTCAATGCCTTGCACTCACTAGCTGCATTGTTAATATTTAGGGGTTGTTCCTATTTAGGACATATTACGACCTATTAGCAGCATTATGCCAGAATGTTCACTCCTCTGCTGAATTATGAATCTTCATCAATTTGTACTCCATCAAACTATTGGATTCCAAACTCTCACCGACTCAAACAAGACAGGGACAATGACAATCTAGAGATAGTTTTTTTAAGCTAAAACTGTAAGGCCCCATTTGACGAAGGATTAACAAAAGGATTAAGGGGGTTTAACCCCTCCTTAACCTTCCAAGCAGGTCCGTTTGGTCAAAGGGCTACAAACCCTTTACAAAGGCTACTAAACACATCATTTAGAGGGGTTAACAAATCCGCCTGAGAAGGCGGGATAAGATTTATCCCCACTGGAGATGACGGCTGAAACTTTGAAAAAATATATTATAATAACTAATTTAGGATATTTATGGCAATTAATCTCCTTAACCCTTCTTAATTTGCCAAACATAAAAACTTAAACGCTTCATTTTGGCTATCTAATCCTAATGATATTAAATTATTTTTAACCCCTCATGAAGGGTTAGCTAAGTTAATCATTCTCCTCAACTCTTCTCTCTTCACCTCATGCCAAACAACACTTAGTGCCTCGTTTGGTGCGTGGGAATCTGATCAGGTGTGATCAGGTGAGAATGGAATGAAGCTAGTAATGGAATGAGTGTGGAACGAAATTGCTCATTTCCATTATCATTGGGTGTGATTAGAAAATGAAATGGGAATGAAAATCTCTTTATTTTTTATATAAATATTCAATAAACAGTCATGGCATATTTGGTAGCTAATTTAATTTTTTGCATTAGCACTTAAGTGGGGATGCCCATTCCCTACTAACTCATTGGGAATGCCCATTCCGACTAAAAGTGGGAATGAGAATTCTAACTTTAAAAAAAGACATGGAAGATTATTGGAGCCTTTCCTGGATATGGCACGAGAAAACAGATTGTTGATTCCTTGAAGTGAGGCAAAGCCATGGAAGATTATTTCTCCAATTGTGTCACAAACCAGATATTGGAAAGTCCAGGATAGTTGGATGTTGGTTTCCAACAAATAATAAGGCAAGAAGGTACCTACAACCATGTATTACAAAGTAGTGAAGTCCTAATGCAAAGAAGGAAAATGAAGAATCCCTTTTCTACAGACATAAGTAAAATTGAATATCAAAATTAGCAGGCAGAAACTTCAACTCAGACTGGCCCATCATAAGATATTATTGGTGACTTCGGTTCTCAAGCCCTTACAAGTGTAGCTAAGTCCAACTATGAATTTGTTTATGCATTCAAAATAATTGAGTAAATGTGCACATTAAGTAGATAGCTAAATTTACCTTGTCATTAGTATTTGCTTTAGTACCATAAACCCGTATTTTAGCTCCAGTTTCCTGGTTCAGAAGCAAAGTAAACACCTTTCAGCTGAAAGAAAAATACGGCCGCCTACTTCAAACACAGAAGTGATACACACACACACGCACACACACAATAGAAAGTGATAAACACTCAGCTACAGAT